CTGCGGGGAACCATGCAAAAAACGCATCTTCGCACGGGCAGCCCGTGCGTTGGCCAATTATTTTATACGGAAATCGTATGGTCTGGTAATTGAAGTTCACATGGAATGCGGCTACTTCTCCGTTCCCTCTTCTGCCTCTTTCTCCCTCCCACCTGGCCCCTCACCCGCTCCGTTTCTTCGTTTTCTTCCCTCGTATTTCAGGTAGACCAGTGCTGCCTTGATCTGCATAAATCCTGGGGGAGATGGTTTTCAGATGGGAAGGGAAGACAGGGGGATCTGAGCCACAACATCGTATCACAGCAAAAGTAGCGCAAAACAGCACTGCTGTATTGAAATAAAAGAATAGAGGGATTAGACTTGAATGTCGTGTGTACGAAGACATTTTATGATGCAGTCTGTGTCTCATCCCTTAGCTGTAAACACAGGCCAAACTGTGCACGCGGGTAGAAGCGGAATTCATCAATACAGCCTCCTACCAGCTATGTTTTTTTTGAATAGTCATGTAACTAATTTGCAAAACGGATAAGCGAGAGAAAGAAAACTGAAGCGATTTTTTTAAACAAGTTTTTTTTAGGACAAAGGGTTCTCCTTTTTTGCATCGAAGTATTCTAGAAACGTTTACGTGAAAGGAGAGGGAAGGACAAGGTAAATGGCCACAGTTAAGCTTAGCTCTGTTGTTGGCTTGGTGGCAGATAGGCGAATTTTTATGGTTTATTTGTACAATCCAGTGTTGAAAAAAGTGTAAATTTTAAGGATCTGGTACACGCTGACCCATAACATCAGTCCCGAGCGAACGGTGACTTACTCAGGCTCAGTGTGCGACGAAGATTATTATTCGAAGTTTTTGAAATGGTGGAAACGCAAGTGCAAGGTGCATCTCGACTTCGACCTAAAAGGTGATTTTCCATCTCTGAGTAGATGGATTGTTAAAAAAAAAAAGTTTGTTGAAATTTCCAAAATTGAATTGAAAAAATTAAAAAAAAAAAAACATCAGCACAGTCGTCTCTGTCCAGAAATATAGCCAGATACTTGATGCACCTAAAACAGACACTGCTTTCGAGCTCAAAACCCCTTCATCATCTTATCGGAGACTTCTAGATAATTCTTTTTTTTATGGGTTCTGCTCACTGAAAGCAGTGGGTTGGTACCATAGCATGCAGTTTTTGCCCAGCACAAATGTATACGACTTAATGGACTGAAACATTTCGTACCATTTTAATAATAATCTTATCAAAATAATTTTACCATTTTTATTAATTCCTTAAAAATATTATTTTCTTTTTTATTCTTGTTTCTACTTCAAAATATGTTATTATTACTATCAGTAATGGGTGGTGCGAGTAGAAGTTGCAAGAAGTCTAGCTGTGCAAAGACATTAAAGAAGAGGTATTCCGTGTATATCGAACTGAGCAGCAGCACTTTTATAGTGCACAGTTCCTTGCATTTC